GTGCTAGTCGGCTATACATCGTATAGACCGATTTTGCACTCTATTATTCGCAGTCGGTTGACAGCCAAAATTTTTCGTTGGTTGGCCAAATGGCTTAGTACTGAACCGGCAATAGTCGTTGAAGCCAGTCAATGATGTAAAAGAGTCGCAGAGTCGAATGATAATGATGCGGGTGAGTAAACATATTGTTAATAGAGGCCGGCTTTTTCTATTATGTTGTCCGGCTCGCAACCCGTGTCCAGCTATCCATGCTGGACTTGTCATAGGGACGGTGAGTGCAGTTGTTTCTTGTGTCTGAATATGTCCAAAACAGGAATAAATGCTATTCTCCGCGAAGTGGACAAGTATTTCCTTCAAATGTAAGTGTAATTGTCTCCATAACCAAGTGAGAGCTCCAGGAAAAATCATCGGAAAAGCCGCTTATGCGCGCGCAGTGCTGTCCGTGAAATGACATCAGAAAAGCTCCAGGTGACTGGAGAATCGGAAAGTTTGAGGCAGTGAATGTAATCACGCCAGAATTGTCAGTCTCCGGTTGTGGAACAGTGGATCCATGTAACTACATTATTCCTGGTGAGTAAATTGTTCTACTGTGAGTACGAGGCGAGCTAAACCCATTTGTTTAGACCCCGTGGTGGAAGCTCCTCCAGAATGGCGGAAAGAGCTCCATTTGGAACGATGTGTGGGTTCTTCATCTCCCGGAGAAAAGAACAAGCATGTAAACCAGCTGGCTATTGAAAGTGGGTCGACTATTCCCAGTGGATAAACCTTCTTGTTTTGGCAGATGTATCTGTGGAAATCTCGAGAGAAAACGGGCAACGGACAAGAGGCAGCCAAACAGAAAGACAGCAACGAAGCAAGAAGCACAAACACAGACTGGTGGCGCGCAACGATGCCTATGATACATTAAAATTTATGTAATTTTGTTTAGTATACATGATTTGCAAGCGCGTTCTTTACATCACGTCGCTGGTGTGTCTCAGACTACAACTACTAGGTAGAAAGAAGGGTATAACAAAGCGTGTAGACAACGTTAAGCGATTAATATGATTATTGGAGAGTAACAGGTAAACCGATGATGATGACAGCAGACCGAATGCGAGCGGCATCTTAGGTGAAACTAAGGACAACAAGGTTGAGACGGAATGCGGGAGCAACATAGGTAAAGCGACGTTCCAAGAAGAAAAGGAAATTTAAGGAATCAGCTATGAGCGGAAGAATGCGGACGGCAGTGCGAAGAGTAACTCATGAGAACAATTAAGAGACGATAGTCAGGATGAAAAAGGTTTACAACTAAAGTGTGGTGAGCCAAGGACGCTCTCGTGCGAAGTATGAAACGTTCAGTGCTGAAATAGCACCGGTAATATCCCGGTAATCTGAGAGAACTCTAAAAGCTTAAGAGCATTAAGGAACTTAGTGGTATTAGTCTCACCCATCGATTTGTTAGCTGTGTCAGACCATCTGCGGCAGCGCCTGAAGCTCAAACCGCATAGAGCTCGTCAACAACTGGAATAAATCTTCTGATTTAATGTTAGGTACGTCTATGAAAGCCTTCAAAGGGGGTTTAGATACGTGTTCATCTGGCATCTTCCCGGAGATTTTGTATTTGGACGGGAACTTGTTGTGTATTTTGATGCCGACACATGCAATAGCAAAGATCACCCTAGTTCTTTCTTCACTCCGTTGCAGAAGTTAGGAAAGTCAATCCAAGGTCGTAGTGCCCAGGGGCCGCTGCACTTGCCGGCACAACAAACTGGACACTCGATAGACGAAAACCTCTATCGTCCGTCGTGCCTGACATGAACCATTATGCAGACTTTGTTTTGACGTAAAGACCATGTTCGAACCGCTACCGTCACAAAGATATGTAACAGCGGCATTGGCAGCTTTGATGGACCGAGGGACTTAGAACTGCGCGGTGTTTGAGATTTGTACCCACATTTTACGTGTTATTAAGGCAGCAAAATGTAGCGATTCACAGACCGACTGACTTTACCCGCATTGGAGGCTTTTGCTCGCCTAATAATGTAACTAACACAGAATGTAACCCTTTTCTAATGCAGAGGATTCCCTTCTGCTCTCTGCAATCCTATGATACGATTCTGTTTCAGAAGGCTTACATCGATAACCACTATCGATAATCGCCCCGATTTAATGGCTTTCTCTGAGACGTGGCTGTCCCCGAACATCCGTGATTCGGAAGTATATATCCCTGGATACCACTTCTCCTGGGCTGATCGCCACGGAGTGAGGTCAGGCGGTGGTGTTATACTCTATTGGAGGACGAACCTCAAGGCACATTTGCTTGATGCTACTTGTGTTATAGATGGTGGCTTCGAAACTCTGTAGTGTCGTATTCATGCCGGGTGTAGACCACTCCTGGTCTGTGTCGCCTATAGATCTCCCTTGGGTTCGGGAGCTCTTTTGCTGGATTCAATTAAACCGCACGCCGGAGGTAAGGACTGCTTAATTGTTGGAGACTTCAATGCACCTGGCATTGACCGGGACCTGCTTTATTGTGGTCTTCCTTCTGACTCTTTTGATCCCCTTCTCCTTCAGACCGTTCTCGATTGTAACTTGTCTCAGCATGTATTTTCACCCACTCGGTTGTTCTCAGGCCAAACACCGCACATTCTTGATCTAGTGTTATCCCCGATGCCGTCAGATGTCACCGACCTGGTTATTATGCAACCTATTGGGAAGAGTGATCACTGTGCTATTTCCTTCCAATGGGCACGTCGATTTTCTGTTCATGACCAAGGTGATCTCCGGCGTAATTTCTGGCGAGCCGATCCACAGCGTTTGCAGGAGGCTGCTTCTAACATGGACTGGACCATACCTCATTTTGTGTGTGTTGACGATGCTTGGACTCACTTTTACTCCAACATGACGTCGCTAATCAACCAGGTTGTTCCTATTTCTAAAAGTAGAGATCTAACAAGAAGTCCTCCTTGGATTGACAGATAGTTGAGGTCTCTGATGAATAAAAGACGCACAGTATGGGAACAATTCAAGTGTACACAGTCGACGGCCGACTACTTGCAATACAAAACGCTTAGGAACTTTGTATCCTGAAGAAGCGGGAGAATCGCCAAAACTACGAATTTCAATTAGCTGTGCAGTCCTGGTGCTCCCCAAAATGTTCTTCTCATATCTGAAAAGGGGTACCAAAGGTGGTAATGGCATTCCATCTCTGTATTCCAGTAAACACGCTGCCTTACTTCATGAGGATGCTGCGAAAGCGCATCTCTTAGCTCAACAGTATTTATCCGTTTTTACAAATGAAAATCCGTTTTCTGACCTAGTAATCCTATGATCATCTTTGCTGGCTCATCTTAAGATCAGTATGGAAACTGTTACTCATTTCCATCTTCAATTAAATCCGAACACCTCGCCTGGTCCTGCTGGCCTGCACCGGCTGTTTCTCAAGACCGTGGCTAATTACATTGCAGTCCCAGCTTGTCATGTGTTTCGCTGCTCTATTAAATCCGGACGCCTTCCATCAGCCTGGAAGCTGGGCATTTTCAAGCCCATATTTAAAAGGAGGGAACCGCCAAGACCCAGCAAACTATCGTCCCGTATGCCTAACATCAGTAACGTGTACAATTATGGAACGGATTCTCAAGAGCTCTCAGCCTTTACTTCGACGAACGGAATGTGATTTCTACCGCTCAGCATGGCTTTCGTAAGTCACGCTCGTGTACCACCAATTTGTTAGTTTCCAGAGAGAAATGGGCGAACTCACTGGATGCGGACCAACGTATGGATGTTATCTGCGTAGATTTCAGAAAGCGTTTGACAAAATTCCTCACGAGCGGCTTTTGTTCAAAATTCAAGCAATTGGTGTCTCTGATAGGGTTTTGTCGTGGATCTCGGATTTCGTTTCAGACCGAGTTATGCAAGTTAAGGTCAACGATACATATTCACCCTCCGTCCTTATGAGCAGTGGCGTTCCTCAGGGCTCTGTTCTTGAAGCAGAGTTGTTCAAATTCTTCATTAACGACCTTCCTTCAACACTCCGGACCGAATGCTTGATCTAGGCTGACGATTTGTAATTATGGATGGAGGTAACCAGCGCTGAGGATGCTGACCGCCTTCAAAATACAATGGATCGGCCGCACACTTAGTCAATTAAATGGCAGTTGCCTATAAATCGCGATAAATGTTCTGCACTCCCCACTGGTGCTACTGAACCATTCGGTGTTTACCACCTTGGTGGTTATTTGCTTAATAATGGAAAAAAAGAAAGAGACCTTTGTATTATAGTACACTGTGATCTAAAAACCACCCAAGATAATTTGAAGAAGGTTGCTGCGGCTAACGGACTACTGTGTTCTATCCGAAGAGACTTCTCACGATTGACGCCGGAGATCTTCAGACTTATCTTTTTCACCCATGTGCATGCAATCCTCGAATATGGATCACCCGCAGTTCATCGACTTACAACGCTTGAACATGGCTTGAATGAAAAAGTTCAGCGACGCGGTTCTAAGTACATCTTTGAGTTCCGACCCCTGCCATATCACCTTCGTCTCCAGCATTTGAATATATTCTCCCTGGGATATCGTCGTCGCCAAAGCGATCTAATCTACGCTCGGCGCATTCTGCGAGACGAGATGGGGAACCAGCTCCAAGGTTTCTTCCAGGTTAACACTGAGTGTTCGACTCGGGGCCACTGTTGGAAATTGTTTAAACCTAGGAGACTCAGGCTTTGCTCTGATTTTACACTATCGACTCGTGTGGTGAACGACTGGAACTGCTTGCCTATTTCCGTCGTCAACGTGTATACGTTGGAATGTTTTAAATGATTGTTGGATTTATACTACTTGAATTTGCAGGGATCTTGTTGTCTCTTATGTAACTGTGATAATCTAACTTGTTAATTGTTGTTGCGCCAACACCTGCTATGATTGGGAGGTGATGGAGCTGACAAAGGTCTTTCCTTCTGCTCTCTACATTACAATGACTACAACAATGATTTCAATGACCTTGGATGTTGACCAGCCGACCTTATTTTGACTGCGTTTAGCGCACACCGTCCCTTTCAATTTGCTGCGATGGTGATGAAGGACTACCTCGGCGCAGATCAGAGAAAAACGAAGGAATCGGGTGCTGCTGAAGAAGATGTCAAAGGTAACAACCGTTTTCAGCTTACGTTTGCCAGCACTGAATGAAAGTGACATCGCATTATTAAAAACATACGTGAGTCGTGTTGTTGCTTGTCTTACAAACTAGGGCGCGGCTTCGTATAGCAAGGAAATTAAACAATGCGAAGAAGATATCCAGACGTATATGAAAAGAGTTAATGAGCTTACAGGTGTTTTTCTGTTCAAATCATCCTAACGTACTAAATGACGTCATTTTCAGGTATCAAAGAGTCCGATACAGGCCTAGCGCCCCCTGCCCTTTGGGATTTGGCCGCCGACAAGAACTGTTTGACAAGTAACTGCTTCGAATTTCATGTATCTGTAGACGAACATCCTTTGCAGGTTGCCCGTTGTACGAAGATAATCAACGCTGATTCTGAGGAGCCCAAGTATATTATCAATGTCAAGCAATTCGCTAAGTTTGTTGTGGATCTTGCTGACACAGTGGCTCCGACTGATATCGAAGAAGGAATGCGCGTTGGTGTGGACCGAACAAAATATCAAATCCACATACCTCTGCCTCCCAAGATTGACCCAAGCGTCACCATGATGCAAGTGGAAGACAAACCCGACGTCACGTATAGCGATGTTGGCGGCTGCAAAGAGCAAATTGAGCGTCTACGGGAAGTTGTGGAGCTACCACTATTGCATGTAGGTTTTCCCCCTTACTGGAATTGATGCCACCATTAGTACTTCACGTTTCCGCCATTCCGATACATTACACCTGTATTGCCCCTCGTGCTGTCAAAGAAGCCTAATGGGTCAGTAGTTCGAGAAATGAAGGGGCGGAAGCAGTAGACAGTTTTCTCATCTTCCAACTGATCCGCACCACTAGTCTTTAGAAACCGAGCGTCATTGGGTATTGCGCACCATGAGCGTCATGATTCACACTAATGAGCGCCAACTAGCTCTTTGGGCGGAACACTTTTCCGATCAGTTGGCCGCTTGTTTCCAAACCCCTTCTTACTGAGGTGATGCACGCCAAGACGCGGACGGTGGCTGATGTCCGAAACACGATCACAGCTCTTAACCGTTTTCGATCTGCTGATCCGTATCCCTTCACGCGCACTATATATGCATGGTAGCGAGGTCCTCTGCAAAGCACTGACCTCACTTTTCGAACAGATCTGGAAAGAAGAGACCATTCCAACTAACGAATTCATAGCTTTTACATTGGCAATATACAAGAAGTGCAGTCGCACGGAATATGCTGACCATAGGGGCGTTAGTCTAACCCCAGTGCCAGAGGTGCTAATCTCAGTTCTCATTCGTCTCCTCACTGCGGAACGGAAATTCCGGATTAGAGAAGAGCAGGCAATTCTTCACTATGGACAAGGCTGTATATACCACATATTCACTCTGCGGCATGTGCTAAAGTGGCGGCACACACCCCAGACCGACATTAGCTGAGTTCTTCGACTTCAATGGTGTGTTCGACTCACTTGATTGATCACTATAGTTTAGGATACTTTGCGGTAAGGTCTTCTCATAAATGGGTGAACATTTTATGTGCCCCGTACTCGAACACCACAGACTGTGTCAACCTTTGCGACGGCGTATCAGATATCTTCCTGATAATAAGTGGCGTTCGTCAGGGTTGCCTAATTTCCCCAATTTTGTTCAACTTCGCCGTGGACTCCGTCACTGAGTGTCCTCTTGCGCAGCTTCACTATGCAGTCGTTGAGGTGCTGTCTTGTGAAAAACTGCTCTTAATTTAGCGGACGATGTTGGGGCGGCTCAATCAACCCTGAATAACCTTTTTAGTCCCATTATTTGGCATGCGCTTTGCACCTTCAAATTGAAAAATACTGTTGCGGAACCACCAGCCACTTGATGACTATCGAAGGATTCGAGGTCGTTGATTACTTCACTTACCTTGGCAATTGTATTACTGTAGTCAGTTTACGTATTGACGAAACCAGAACAGCCTTCCTGTATCTGTGACCCTTGTGGCGTCAGAAGGGCGGTTCCCTAGGTCTGAAAGGCCGTGTTTACAAGGTCACTGTGAGGGCCTTTCTTTATGGGATTGAGGCTTTACCTCCTCGGTCCGAGGACTTGCGGCGAATTCACTTCTTTGATCATCGTTACTTGCGGAGCGTTGATAGTTTCGGATGGCATCGGCGTGTCCGCAACGATGATGTGCGTTGGCGAGTGTTAGGCTAGTCCATTAAAATCGCAGATAGTACGTAATAAGTTGAGTTAACTTGAATCACGTACTCCATACGCCCGATCGTCGTTTATAAAAGACAGCGTCATTTTGTTTGCAAGATGTAGGGTGACGCTAGGCTCCAGGTAGGCAAAAGTTAACTCAGCAGCGGGAAATGAAATAAGTAGCTACGAAACTGGCTGCCGTTGGCCTGTGTCGCTTTCCAGAGTGGAGTCCACACGACCCGCGTTGTTGTTATATCGAGAGGTAGCAGGACGGCCCGCAGTCGGTTTAAGTACATTGTCTGCTGTCGTCTCATAGATTGCTTGTTTAAATTGTTTGGTGCTGTTATCTGCGGAGTGGTGGCTGATTATGACACGGTGCAGTAAGAGTCGCGAGGTGGCTGTCTCTCCGATGCCGTCTTATCTTTACACGATAGCCAGTTGTACGTGACTACGTTGTTGACAAGGTATAGGCGCCTTGATCATGATTATTTGCTTAGGGCACAAAGGTTTTACACCAGATCCCTTGTCTTACATTCTTATTATTCTTCACTTCGCAGGTTGTTGTGGTTGTACAGCAGCTAAATGTCAGTTAAGATGGCCGGTATACTGTTGCTTCTGTTGTGCTTTGCATGATACATGGAGTCCCGCAGTTTGCATGCGTCATCATTGAAACCAAGCTTAGTGGTTGGTTATAGGAACTATCCTGCCTACTTGGTCAAACCTTGTACTTTTCGCTCATCTTGTATGCCAGTCGCGAACCAGCCGTTTTTTGATCTCCTCCATTATATTCATATATATGTATATATATATATATATATATATATATATATATATATATATATATATATATATATATATCATTGAGTACAGTCTAGATACAGAATTGCGTTGGATACGGATGCACCCACACACGCGATTATGATCCTAGTTGTTCATGGGGATGAAGAAACTGGTTCGATAGTTTGCGTTCCTCAGCGATCCTTTGAGCTATCTGGTCGGTGTTTTATACACTTTCAGAGCCACTTATACCAGATTCGTCAATGGTAACATTCCAGACAAACTGTCGCCTGATCCTCCAAGTTTAGGGATGAACTTAGGGCACTCATGTTCCTTAGAAACGCCCACTGTTAAACTCCCACTACCTTTCGGTCAGGTTGAGAACCCTCATCGTTCTGTCAGGGTCTGGGCAACTTCACCATACTCTGTTCATGCAATACAATGACCTCTTAAAATATTTTTGTACTCTAGCCATCGCATGGGAAGATGATCAGCAGCGCTCTGTCTGCTGTATCGAATGGAATGGATAATGGTAAGGATGTTACTGCTCCAGCGTTCCAGTCTTCCTCCTTTCCATCACGATTTTTCATTGTCATAGTCTCATTCCAAATTCACTTTTGTCCCCCCCTGCTTTCGAGCCTCCAATTCTTGGCCCTCCTGGCTCCGATGGTCGCTTGTCTTCTAATTTCAACTCACACTTGCGGATCATCGCCCATACTATATCGACAAGTTCATGTACAACCAAGCGGACAACCTTAATTCATCCGCTCCTACTTGGAGCCATTGATTTCCCCTAAGATTAGCATGCCTGAAAGTACACATTTTGCTGCAAATCGGTCAACAGACAGAATTTGCCCGAATATTAGTGATCCTGTCGATCGACATCTGCTGCATATATGTAACCAACTTGCAAGATTATTCACTCTAAGATGGCTTACATACTGCACTTTCTCATTGCGTTTAACGGGGGGTGATACAGCTTAAAATACCGGTCAAACCGGTGTGAGCATTTTTCTGATCTTCCGGGATGAAGATGCTCTGGTAACCTAGATCACAGTCATTATCCCGATGCGTTCCATCAGATTGACTGGCTTGTTCAAAGCTTCCAAATTGAACTGGGGGAATGGTGCCCGTTTGTCATTGCTACATATGCCGCACAAACTGTAGCACTAACTCGGTGAAAAATAGCTTCTATCACCAACTGAACGATCACCTTCTTCACAGAAAATGTACTGGTACTGTGGTGCTTGCTGGTGATCTGCACGCCCAAGTTGGAAGACTGTCCGCTGATAAACTACATCTTTTTAGCCAATTTGGTGTAGTCTCCAGTAATGATCACGATGAGCGGTTGCTGCACCTATACGAAAGTGCTCGTCTATTTCTCGCCAGCAGTACTTTTTGACAGCACCCAACACACAGTGATATGGTGCCCATTAACCACTTACCATTGAAGCAGTATCCAAAACTGCTGCTCTATTTGGAGCAAGAGTGCGGATTCCATTCGCACACTCCTTTGTACTGACTTGCGGGTGCGTTTCGGCGGATGTCTGCGACGACGTTGTAAGCGCATTGATACCAGTCGACTGATGAAGCCAGATGTTCTGAATGCGTATCGTAGTACGCTGGCATCTTAACTGAGTAACCGTCCACTGAGCACGTTGGACGATCCTTAGTCGCATGTTCGTCAGACTTTATTAGCATCAGGCATATCTTCATGTGGGAAATCAAAATGCCGACATGGATGCTGGTCGACGTGTTCCGGCTGGGAGCGAACGCAGTGAAACTCGCAAAGGCCTCAGGGAAAAGCTGTGGCAGGCTGAGGAGGGACCTGAGAGTCCGGTGGTCACATCGTGCAGCGGAGATGGAAACAGCCGCTGCCGTTGGTAACCATCATAGATTACGCGGCCTGATACGGGAATCGAATAACAGATGACCTACTTTTAGGGAAACCATACGTGATGAGAGTGCACAATCGATCCACAACTTGTCAAGACGCTTGAGGTGTTGGGTCAGACACTGAAAAGCAGTCGGACTTATCATCTTATTTACCGGTCATTGATCGCCCTTCTGTCTGCCGTCCAATTGGATCCATCCTAATGCGAATGTGAGATTCAGACTGCTAAAACTGCATAAGGCCGTAGGAGCAGATAGACTTCCTCCAACCCTCTACAAATTTTGGAACCCCTGTTTCTTTAAATAATTTGCACAACTGTAAAAGCAAGAGACTGTCCAAACAGACTGGGATCACTCCGTTATAGTCCTAATTTTCAAATGACACGTTCGGAATGCGGCAGTCAATCTGATCTCAATTGTCTCTATGTCATTTGTCTCTTTCGGCCTCCGTAGACTGACTGGCACCCGAGAAAGCCGGATTCGCGAGGAGCAAGCTGAGTTTCGTCGAAACCAAGGGTGTATTTACCACTGTTTCACATTGCGTCAGTTGTTGGAACACCGCTAGACTTATTGCTGACCCACCGTAGTCGCGTTTCTCTACCTTGAAGGGACCTTCGGTTCTGTGAATCACTGTGTCCGCTCAGAAAAACTGCTCTATAAATATGTAAACATCATAAAAACGTTGTACACACGTAGTTCGAGCAGTGTGATGGCTTATGGCATGCTATCGCCGCCCTCCAACATCTCCAGAAGTGTGCGACCAAGTTGTCCGCTGCACCCTTCTGTTTTCGCTTGACCTTCGAGACTGCGTTCAGTGGATGCGACCTACA